CGGGTGTTCTCAGGTCCACCCTGACCAGAGGTGGTAGCACTCGTTAGGGTCTCAGACATGGGCAAATGGTTAACTCACAGACTGGCGTCAAAACGCGTAAAAATATGTTGTATTACCGCCAATACACTTTTGTAATAAAATTATTACCAAAAATGAATTTTTGAATGAAAAATTACCAGAAATACATTATTACCAGCAAGATATCTTCTGAAAAAAAAATTGCCAGCAATACATTTTTGTAATAACTATTACCAGCAATACATTTTGAAACAAGTAATATCAGTAATAAAAATCTTGTTGACATTAAATAACTCATTAAGGTTCATATGCCGTAAAACAAACCAAAATAAATATACATTTAAAATGCAATGTATTTTTCTGGATGTAAAATAACTAAAACATTGTTTTATCTTAGCACCCAGAACGAACACATTAACCCATAATATCTAAATACTAAACTTTAGATTGGAAGAGGATTAATGAAATCCACTTGTGCCAATTACCATTTTTGTTATGAGAAGTTTTTGTCTGGAGAGGTGCGAAGGAAAAAAACCTCAAATTCTATGTCGCAAGTTACAATTATTTTTCTTATTTCAGAAGCTCGTCTTTCTTCGGTTATTTTCATTTAATGATTTACAAAGCAGGCATTGGTTCGTCAGAATCGTAACTTCTGATCCAGTGGTTGAGTCAAAGGAGGCAATTCTAAATAGCTTACTGAATTAATAATGGATCCACATTTGTTAAATACTATAAATATATATATATATATATATATATATATATATATATATATATATATATATATATATATAAATATATATTTTAAAATATATATTTATATATATATATATATATATATATATATATATATATATATAAAGAAAAAACGGGAAAATTAAATGTCTTTGACTAGATGCGAGGATGTCTCGTCAGTATTCTAACGATGTTGTGACAATATCTTTTTGCTTGATATATTGTCTGAAATTGGAAATGTTTAGCTGCTCCATCTCCTCTTTCTAAATGTTATTGAAAACATATCTCCCAAGCCCAGTACTTGGTGAGGGCTGAGGATTGGCCGTTGATTCCCCCCCCCAAACCAGGTCGACGCTTGGACATAAGGTAAGCCGTATATTCAGTCACCTTCATGAGGATGAAGGCAGGCAACCACTTGCTTGCTGGCCCATGTGAGTATAGTTTTCGCTCTAGCAGAAACGCATTTACATTTTTCATTTTTTTTTTGTTCTCTTTTGTTCTTTTCGTTTTTAAATTTTTCTATTTTTTCCCTCCCCAGCCCACTCAAAGGCATTTTGTCCCAATGATTCTTCTTATTTGATAGTTTAGTAAGAAATCCCGGTTCGAAAGTTAAAAAAAAAGAAGAAAAACCAGGAAAAATGGAAAATTAAATGTCTTTGACTAGATGCGATAATAAATCCGGGTAACCTTATTTTCAATTTCTTTTTAGAATAGACAATGGGACTTATACTAAGTTAAAACTTAATGTGATAGGATATAGCCAAGTGTGATCCAGGACTCCTTACCTGTTATCTCCCCCTCCAATCCTTCCCTCTGTTTTGTGTCGTCCTTCTTTGTGTTATCTGTAATAGTAGTAGGTAGTCTTTTCTACCGCCCGGTCAACACTCCTCCCTCTTCTATTGGATATGAGTAGAGGCTTACATCTTGTTTCTTGCCTAGGAAGGGGTTCCCGGTACTGTTTCTCTCTCCGGCCTCTGTTTTAGTGCAGCTCTGTTTCTCCCGTGATGTGTGCAGTCTGTGGCAACATCTCTTCATTCTGAGGGTACACGGTTGACAGTTCTCTGGTTGCTGTTTCCGACTGGTAGTTAGGAGCCCTAACTCTGGCGTAGCGTCTTGAGCGGCTGCTCTGATCAACAATTGTATAATACCGGGGTGTTTGTAGTACCATGTCGCGCATGGAAAGGTGTCCCTGCAGTCACCTCCGGTGGGCAGCCCTGAGGCCACATAATGATGCAGGTTTTGCCAACTCCTCTCTGCCCGCGTCACGGTCGAAACTGTCTGTTTCTTTTACATCGGGCCTTCTCATCTTACAAACAAAATTCAACATGAGTTACAAAAACCGAAAGATTAACCCTAAACCAGCCTCTCAAAAACCACCTAAACCCCTCAACATTTCGTTCTCCAACATCCGGGGCATTAGGACAAACTTCTGCAGTCTGGAATCTGTCCTCTCTGCAAACGGCCCGGATGTACTGGCTCTCTGTGAGACAAACCGTGTCTCATCTATCCCCTCTTCTGATCTCTCGATCCCCGGCTATCTTCCTCTCCCCAGAAAAGAATCTCTAACCTACATGCACGGTCTTGGTGTCTACGTCAAGGAACATCTCCCTCTGGCCAGAGAGTCCTCTCTCGAATCGCCTGACCAGTCATACATGTGTCTCCGACTCTCTCTCCTCAATGCGGTAAGCTATCTCTTCTTCCTTTACCGCTCTCCATCCTCTCAAGACTGTGAGATACTTGATAGCATTTCTGACAACATACACAAGGCTCTCTCCCTCCACCCGTTTGCTCACATTTTTGTGTTTGGTGACTTTAACGCCCATCACACCTTGTGGCTTAAGAATGCTACTACTGACCATGCAGGCATTCAAACGCTTAATTTTTCAATCTCCCATTCCCTCACACAGGTAGTTAACTTCCCCACTCGTTTTGCCTTCAACCGGGAAGGTAAAGCCTCTCTAATCGACCTGTGCTTTACCCCCATCCCCGAATCCTGCAGCGCCTCGCAACTCTGCCCTTTTGGTAACTCTGACCATGCAGTAGTATCGGTTAACATCTCCTTTAACTCCACCCCCCATAAAGAACCTCCTACCACTAGAACTTCGTTCTATTATCAACGAGCTGACTGGGACGCGTTCTGTGATTTCCTCCGCGATGTCCCCTGGGATGGAGTCTTTAAGCTCCCCGTCCAAGAATGTGCTTCTGAGGTCTCTTCCTGGGTTAAAGCTGGAATCGACGCTTTCATCCCATCAAGGAAATATAGGGTCAAGTCGCGCTCCTCCCCTGGTTCTCGGCTGCTTGCTCAGCCGCCTTCGCCCATAGGAACCACTACTTCCACCTATACCGTAGCGACATGTCTGACGTCTCTTTGCCTCCACCCGTAACGAATGTAAGCGTGTCCTCGATGGTGCTAAGTCACTATTTGCGGCTCGAATGAAGGAACGTATTGCATCTCGCAAATTTGGCTCCAAAGATTATTGGCGTCTCTGCAAGAGCGTATTGAACAATTGCAAACCCTCTATACCTCCTTTATTCAAACAGTTCGAAGTCCTGACCTCCTCTACCGACAAGGCTGAATGCGTTGCTCGGAAATTTTCATTCAACTCGACGCTCGACTCTTCCGGTGTACCCATACCCGACTTCCCTCTTAGAACTGAGGCCATATTGAATGGGTTAAACATAACCCCATCTTTGGTACTGGGCGTTATCTCTAATTTACATCCCAACAAAGCTAGTGGTGGTGACGGGATACCAGCCATTGTCTTGAAGAAATGCGCACCTGAACTGGCGCCCGCCCTTTCGAAACTATACAACTACTGCCTCAAGGAATCTTGTTTCCCTGACTGCTGGAAGTCCTCTTCGATCGTTCCTGTCTTCAAGAACTCCGGCGACCCCTCTGACCCATCCAACTACCGTCCTATCAGTCTCCTTCCCCTCTTCGGCAAAATCTTCGAAGCTCTAATCAATACCGGGGTGGTTAACCACCTCACATCCCATAATCTGCTCTCAGACAAGCAATATGGTTTCCGCTTTGCCCGACCTACAGCCGATGTGCTCACAGCCATCACTGAAAGTCTACCGAGCTCTCAAAAATCCGTGGCACTAGACATCTCCAAAGCATTTGATAGGATTTGGCATGCCGGCCTTCTGCGCAAGATCCAGGGTTATGGCATTACGGGTCGATTATATAACCTAATACAACCATTCCTGTCAAACCGTGAATTGAAGGTCGTTCTCAACGGATTCTCCTATCCCACGAACGCAGGTGTCCCTCAAGGCTCCATCCTAGGCCCCACTCTATTCCTTATCTCCATAAATGACATTCCTGACGCCGTAACTTCCCAAGTTGGCATCTATGCGGATGACACCACAATTTATTACTGCCTCAAAAACAAATCTAGTCTCGCTGACAAAACTCACTTTGCCGTCCGTCTCGAAAAGGACCTCCAATCGATTGTGAACTGGGGCATGAATTGGCTGGTCAACTTCAACGCTTCGAAGACAAAACTGCTCTCTATTAATCACCACAGAGAGCCTTCCCTTCCCTCCATTAGAATGCCTGACGCTCAACTTCTCGAGAGCAACTCTCTGCGGCTTCTCGGTCTCACGTTGACTGCTGAGCTGAGATGGAATAAATACATCGAGTCAATTGCCTCGTCCACTGCGAGGAAAGTTGGCTCCCTGAGCCATGCTAGGAAGTTTTTCTCCCCTGAGTCTCCGGAATCGATCCTTCAGATCTACAAATCCACAATTCGCCCTTGCATGGAGTATTGCTGCCATATATGGTCTGGTGCCCCTTCTGTTTGACTCGGGGTTCTTGATAGGCTCCGGAGGCGGATATGCAATATGGTTGGCCCTGCCCTGGCGTCTCGTCTACAGTCACTTTCTCACAGACGCGCTGTCGCCTCCCACTGTCTGTTCTACAAATACTTTCATGGAAATTGCTCCTCGGAGCTGCATTCGCTGGTTCCCAGAGGTCATGATTTCCAGCGCCCTACGAGGCTGGCATCCCGCTCTCACCCATTCACTGTCGAAACTCCTAAATGTAGCCGTCTCTTCTACTCTAATAGCTTCATGTCTCGCACCTCTCGCTTGTGGAACTCCCTTCCCTTCTCCTGTTTCCCTGTGAGCTATAATCTCCAGCTATTCAAGTGTAATGTCAATCGACATCTCCAGTTGCCTTAATCTATCCACTACCCTTATCCTTTCTTCTATCGCTCCTATCTGATCTTGCTATTTTCTGTAACCCCTTGCGTCCTCTTAAAAAAAGAAAAGAAAAAAGATAGATAGATAGATAGATAGATAGATAGATAGATAGATAGATAGATAGATAAAAAGAAAGAGAGAGTCAGAGAGTGAAGAGATAGATAGATATGAGGGATTTTATCAAAGCAAATTTTATTTGATTTGATGCAGTTCCACAGAGGAAGAAACGGGTCAGCTAAAATTAATTTTTCCTCATCTATTTTTATTCATTTTGATCCTTTGCAAATACATTCTATCTGAAAATAATTATATATATATATATATATATATATATATATATATATATATATATATATATATATATATATATATATATACAAATATATATATATATATATATATATATATATACACACACACACATATATATATATATATATATATATATATATATATATATATATATATATATATATATATATATATATATGGCACGTGACCAAATAGACGTTTGCCTTCAGGCCATGTGACCCTGGTTCGAACCTTCGAATCTTTCCATGTTCAGTCTTTTTCTGGAAGGCGTCTTCTTCATGTTATCGTTATTGAGAAACGATCCCAGTATGCGGCATTGCTTAGATCGTTCATGGTTGTACTAACACAAAGTCAACAGTCATTGTGGCCGAGAGTTTGAGCGTACAAGCCATCTTCAGACTTGTGATCACGACAAATAAGGTGTAATGTAAACCACAGGTTTGTATTAAACAAATACAGATTGGTATTGAACAAATACAAATGTGTCTGAGAAGGCCTATGCAACAGAGACTGTCTAGCCTCCCTGGTTGACAACCATACATATATATATATATATATATATATATAAAGATATTTTTGTAGGTACAAAATTTAATGATCGAAATAAAAGTATAAAACTTAATATTACGAGACATATTAAAAAAAAAGGGTGAAGCAACCGGTTTCGCTCCCGCTCTTCAGGCTTCAACGGGAGATTTAAAATTTACACAGGAAAATGTTCCCTAAAAGGAATTGTAAAAAAATAAATAAAAAAAAATAGGCAAAAGGAACTAGATACAAATGACAGCGAGTCCCAACAAACACTCACGTTGTTTGCACAAAGAAGGCTTGGGGGACCCGATGTAAAGTGCCTCCAGAAATTTTTGATGAAATAAAGAGTGAGACCGGGACAACACGGTGAGCCAGTCAACACTAAATTTGGCTGCACAATCTCTGTTCTTTAATAGGTGTTCGCATATGGCGGAACTATAGGTGTTCGGGACGAGTCCATTCAGCGGCAAGGTGTGATTTCTAATTTTAGTAGGAACGTGTTGTTTTATTCTCATATCTAAGCGTTGAGTTGTTCTCCCTATGTAGTCGGCTCCGCAACTACAAACGTATTTGTAAATAATTGAATTAATTTGATGGGGAGGGAGAACGTCTTTACACGCAGATCGAAACATAGGCCGAGTTTGAAAAATAATCCGAACTTCGGCAGAGAATAAACAACAACGAACATTGGATGAAATTTGTTTAGCTATTTTTTCACATTTAGTACCAATCCAGGGTAATCTGAGGTAAACTGGGCATTTTTTCACCGTGTAGAGCTCGGTACTTCTGAACTCTTCAACTTTACTACGGATAACTGAATTAACAGTATCAAGAGGATAACCTAAATTACATAGGGTATCCTTAATAAAGTCGATTTCGTCGTTCAAGAAAGACTCAGAGCAGATCTATGTAGGAGGGTTTTAATAATGTTAATCTTGCGCTTACTGGGACAGAAAGAGTCCCAACGCGTGTACAACCCTGCAAAAGTAGGTTTTCTATAAACGGAAGTAAGAAAACCTGTTAATGTGCGATGTACTAATACATCCAAAAAGGCCAATTGATGATTGGACTCTTTTTCAGTAGTGAACCTCAGTGCCGGATGGATACCATTATATATATATATATATATATATATATATATATATATATATATATATATATATATATATGATTGGTTGAATAATCTGGACTTTTGTTTATTTATTTTACTTTAATCCTTTTGATTTGCAGCAAGATTCAGAACAGGCCAACTTTAGAATATGGGTCCCAAGAAATACGCTGAAACTAAGTAGCGATACACCCAACTCGCTTTTACTTAACAACATTCTCGATTTACGACTACGGTCATCAAATATCCAACTGTATAAGATATCGTAACAATGTCACAAAATTCAGCCATATTACATTTTCTGAATTTCTTTCCTTCACAAGCGGGAAATTTTTATTTAATTGCAATCCACTCGTAAAATCAATCTACTCCTGAACTAACAGCCTCGACTGTTCCATCTTTTTTGTGTAGCCATTTATTGATCTTCACTAATGGCCAGCTTGTTAGCATACGAGTATAATTTATTTCTATCAATCGCCTGAAGATATAGCGACAATGCTGCGAAAATTAGCTTATACTTAAAAATAACTTTTAAAAACAAATATCTATTCATACAACTTTATAATGACATCTGATTAACAAATAAAGTCTTCGACCTAGTTGCGTTGTCGAGAAAAATATTACAACATAAAGTGATACTCAGACATAGTGACACTCATCTGTGTGGAGGATATTGTTATGCGAGGATTGATTGATGACTATGTCTCCTACTTAGTATCGTCACTAATAGTAAGGTAAAAGCATATTACAATATATATTCGGAAATATAGTTTGATTGCTTGATTTTTTAGGTCTTATCAATATTTTGTTTTTTTTATTTCAAACAAAAACATATTTTGGGGATTATAAGAATACATTCTTTTTTGCGACTTACTATTGCGTTAATAATTTTTTGGAGATAACGATATTTACATATACAAACCTTGCTATTTAACCCATTGCTATAAGGAGAACTCATAATTTTCTGAAAGGTATTTCTATGTAAGAGAATGTAACTAACTTTATTGGCATTCGAACTCGGGTCTTCGATTACTCATAGCGGGTCACTATCACTTACACCACTCGCACATCCATTACGAAATATAGGGAATCTTGTACAACTGTGCTTAATATCTATTTGCAGTATTGAGTCATATCAGTGTTGATTGATGAATCTCTATTTATAAAGGCCGGGTGTGTGTGTGTGTGTGTGTGTGTGTGTGTGTGTGTGTGTGTGTGTGTAACGAATGCACGGCCGCAATTTTCGACGGATATGCACCAAAATTTACATGCACATGCTCCAAGTTAGTGGAAAGGCCAGGACCGACTTTGCATTTCCCAACTCCCATCAATAGTGGAAATAATCGATTTTTTCATGCTTCTACGGCAGTTTTCATGTAGTTTGCAGCCATTTTCTATTGGCCAAAGTGAGAGCCTATAGCTGGCTGCCACGAATAGGCAGGAAGATTCTATTGGCCAGCATGAGGGCCAACAGCTGACTGACACGAATGTTAATTAGCATGCTAGCATGCAAAAAAAAATCGATAGCTGCATTCATCACAAGTGGGAAAAATTTAAATCTGCATGGCACTTTACTCAAATTGGCTCATTCGCTTGCTTAAACTCAACGTTTTCGTAACAGATTTAATGTTTAGTATAGAGCTTAGAAAAAATTCGCAGTGTGAGATAGGCAAGAAGTAAGGCATGTAGCAACATCAGCAATGCAAAGGGCACTCCTTTAAAGGCAAGGGAGTGCAAAAATATTTTAATTCAAGTAATAGCGATTGCTGTATGAGTTGTACAATTTTTGAATCAAGCACGGGCAACGCCGGGACATGCTGCTAGTAAAATCCAAGATCAGGTATCGTCGCTAATAGTGGAGGGGGAAATATATTAGAAAATATATTCGTTAATATAGAAAGTCTTATTCAAACGTGTTCATTTTGTTATCTGGCGGTATTGATCAATAGACGAGGGAAAGATTGTCGAGTAAAACCTCCGACAAGCTGGCGTTGCTAATAGTAAAGAAAGTAACATATTTTAACATCTATTTAATAAGTATATAAACTTCTACTCGCACATGATTACTATCAATTCGCCGACTGATAGTATTGAATTATACGAGGATGCATACTACTACAACTAAACAAACTTGGCTTAAATATGTCAAAATATTGCCTAAAATGAAACGCTGTAATGGGTAGTGGCTCGAGATGAGTAATCGGCAATCCTAGTTCGAAGTTTGTTTGGGGAATCCGTCTTTTCTACTCCAGCTATAGTTATATAGACTGAGCTCTCTAGCCTTGTTTGGAAACCATCTAGGACGTGAAAAAATCTGAAATCAAACCAGACTGGAGAGATTTATGGTCCTCTGCTGCTACGTCTGCAGTAATTGCGGTGCCCCTACTCGAATAAAATAATGTTAGTTTGATGTTTCTGGACCATGAAAACCAGTGAGAATGCACGGTATCATGGATAGAGAGCGGTATTTGGCTCTTCTTAAAATAATATAAACCAAAGTACATGAAAGCTGTCTTTGGAGAGTCACTGGAAGTTCCAACATGACAATGACTCAAAACGCATGGCACGAATTGTTACAAAACACTTAGATGAGAGCAAAATTAAAGTATTGGAAAACCCCGCACAAAATGCTAAAGCAACAGCTCGAGACTCATCATTCTTATCTAAAGACTCTTTCATCAGTAATCGTTAATACAACAGCTCTTGACGTAGAGAAGCTAAAGACACATTGCTTCTCTGAAAAGAAGCCCCGTCGAGACTAGATGATTAACAAATTTAGAGTTGATTAGACCCTTTAGTACGTGGCCAATCTAATGCAGTTCTATAGAGATCTATTTTAAAAGGTTTAGTAGCTCCGAATGTTAATTGGGCTTGAATACTGACAGCAGACGCCGGTAGTCGCTGGTAGTCAAATTCAGACTAAATTACAATCATTGTCCCATGACCGTTCGGAGCCGTAAGATCGCGTCGCTGCAAAACTGACCATCTGAGCAGTTCTGTCAACTTATCGGAATTAAAAGTCAGAGATCTATTTATTCATGCACAGTATGTCTTTGGCAAGTAGACCTGCCGGATCCCATCTCTTTCAGTCAGACCACAGCCAATGTACTCCAACTTGAAGGTACCGCTTGGTCCCGTATACGTGGCGGTTGATCCCATCCAGAGACGTCTAGAAATCACACCACCAAGTAGGTATCACTAATAATTTTCGATACTTATGTTTTAAAATGAATTTTTATAAATTAAAATTTTTGAAGGTTTTGTTTTAGTTTTAATTAAAGCTAAAGTATTAAATTTATTATTTCCAGTAAGCAGAATACTCAGGTGTATTTCAAAAAGAAATTATATTGACTTTTTAATTTTTTTTTTAAATAGCTGATTAGCGCCCCTTTTTTAGTCGTCTTTCATTGTAATTCTCTGTATTTAAAAATCTATAAAAAAATATATAATTTTCTGAAACTTTATTTGAGAAATATTAGCTGATTTAAAGTATAATTAATCTGATTAGAAAAAGATATTTACTTTAAGTTTAAAATAACACAGAAATGTATTTTTAAAATAAACCATAGCTGTTTCTTAACCGACATCGCTATGTAATTGACGAGACATTAACAGGTTTTGACATAATGATTGTTGTACTACGGAGAATTTATCTCTAAAACACAATTTAAGAAAGTGACGTGAGCGCCTTTTTTATATAATTTCTAAGTACTTAGTAATCTTGAAAATATTGGAAAAAATCTTGATGCAAATTAATTTATATTAATCTTTTCAGTTTTTGATTAGAAAATATATTTTTCACTTAATAACAATATCATCGAGCCGGATAAAAGTAATGAAGAATTTTAAAAGATTTATATAATATAAATTATTATAATTAAAATTTAAAAAAATGTAGAATTTTTTGTTAAAATTAATTATTCACCGGATTTTTTTTTCTTAAGACACTAGTGTCCTTAATAAATCTTATTTGTCAAAGTATTTAAAAGGCTTTCTAATTAAATAATATCATAGTTTAATGGCATTTTTATTTTAAAATTTTGATCTGATTTTCAGGAAATGAGTAGTAGTTTGACAAAAGAATTGATAATTTACATTCTCCAAGGAGTCCTTGTTTAAAGTAAGAAAATAATTTTGAAAGAAAATGTAATTTCTTGAATTTTTTTTGAAATTTTATGAAAGTAAGTATGTAAAAAGAAATTACCAAATTTTTTAAAAATAAAAATTTATAAATAATTTCATTCATTTGTGAATAATTCATTAAAATCTGACAATTATTTTTGAAATAATTTCCAAACCAATGTAATTTTCACCTGAAAAAAAAAAGCGCTAAAACACTATTCGTAAACATTATGTCGAAAGTTGACGAAATTTGACGCAAAAAATCAACCAACTAAAATTTGAACGTGCTAGAAAGGATTAAAAAATTTAATACAATTATACTTTTCTCTTTCCCCATAATAATAACATAAGCATTTTGACGATAAATCTTTGTTTTTATTAAGTTTGCTGTCTTTTTCGTCATACTATGTTTTTTTCAGCGAAAAAGAGGAATTACCTAGCATCCAGCAATGTCGTATCAAAACGGCATTGAATATACTGCTAGTGTTTCAGTCCAATGTGCAGATTTCCTTCTATATCCCATATCCTTTCCATAAGTGGGTGATCATGAGTCTCCACAATTTCCTGACCTTTATAACTTTAATGTTATGTTTTTCTATCTATCCTAATCCCAGTTCTATCAACCATTTACACAACCTCGATGGGTAGGCTATGCGCTGTTTTAATCTGTCTCTCCTGCCTGTGGGTGTCAAATTTACTAAAACCTCTTTCCTCATTATATGCTTTAGAAATTTCAACTGACCATTTCTAAAGATAAGTGTGTCTTTTGTTTCCATTTTATCTAAGCTTCGCGTTTGATCACATGTTCAATCGATGCTATTCTCAAGAATTCTATTGAACCAGATTTCAGTTGCTTCAAGTCTCTTCATTTCATCTCTGATGAGATTGTCCAGCATTCACTGTCTTATAGAAGGACTGATATTACGTAACAGCTCAGAATTCTTTCCTTTATTTCTAACAAAGAAAATACTCTCTTTGCTTAGCTTTTGGAAAACATCATTTGTATAAAAATGCGCCTTCGGTTTTCCGTTCCTTACTAACATACTTCACAGGTATTAAAATGTTTGTACTCTCTGGATTTGGGTACCTTTCAAA